GGCGGCCCCGGGCCCTGTGCAGGTGACAGCTCACAGCAGCACAGCGAAGAATTGGGACACTCCTGGTCCGTGACCCCGTGGGTCCTGTGGAATAACCGGACACTCAGCTTGGCAGARGCCACCCAGGTGAGCCCCCGCCCACATCCCTGGGGTCCCCCACGCTGATGACAGTGCCATGGGGGCTGCCTGCACCCTGCCACCTCCCCCTGTTTTATTTTCAGTGCAGGACATGCWGTGTCCTGACACTATATTTTTGGGGTCCCAGAGGCAGTGGGGAGGGGASCCCTCAGCAAATCCCCCTTCCCCTCCCGATGCTGAGGGGAACTTTGCTGGTTTGGGGTACCCACCCCGCACCCCTCCCGATTGGGGCGGAAGGGCCCAGCCCACCCCGCGGCCGTTGGGAGTCTCTCCAGTGTTTCCGCCGCGCTGCACCGGGCAGGAAGCGTAGAGGGAACGGGGTGGGGGCCCCGCTCAGTCCAACCCCCCTTTCCCTGACACAATGAGCCCGGGAGGGAGGGACGCTTCCTGCGAGGTGGGCAGGGCATCCCTTCCGACCTCTCCCTCCGGGCACGCGCCAGGGCCAGGCGGGTCCCGACCCCAKCACGGGTCACGGTGCTCCTGAGGGTGCATGGGGAGGGGGCAACTTGGGGCACGGGGTGATCCCCTAACCTCGGCCTGTGGCAGGGGGGGTTCCCCACCAGTCTGAGAGTCCTGCTGGAGCTGGAGGGGATGCGGCTGGTGCTGGAGCTGGAGCAAAACTGGTGAGTCTGTGGTTCCAGGGGAAAGAGCAGGAATGGGAGCGGGATGGGGGTCCTGGACCCATGCAGGTTGGGCGTCGTCCTGGGACCCTGGGCTCTGTCTCTGTCCGTGGTGCACTCAGAGTGGGGATCCCTTATTCCCTGTCTCCTTCCACGGCACTGGTGTGGTGGGGGTCCCAGGGTGCACCGCCAGAAGGGTGGGTTATAGTGGGTCCTCTGTTTCTCCTGGGCTGTGCTCGGGGTTGGGGTGAGGTGCGGGTCTCTGCTGTGGGGTAACATGAGTCTCTGGCAGGGAGCTGGTGCAGGGCACCGGGGCACTGCTCTATTACCTCCCCGATGGCACACAGGTGATCCAGGAGCCCAACCAGCAGGTATGGCCTTGGRCATGGTTGTCACCTGTGGTGTCCCCAAACTGTCCCTGTGCCCCTGGGGGAACCCAGCTTGTGGCAGGATCCTAAACGCCACTCTCTGCTGCAGGAGCACTGCTGCTACCAGGGGACAGTGCAGGGCTTCCCCGGCTCCTGGGCCAACCTCTGTGCCTGCACCGGACTCAGGTGAGCCCACCAGCCTGGTGGCCCGCGAGCCCACTCCCTCTGTGCTGCTGATGGGATGGGCTCCATATCCCAGCTCTTCTGTCCTTCCCCAGTGGCCACCTCTGGTTGTCAGAGACCAGGAGCTACGTACTGGAGCCGGACACCAGCAGCCCCCCGGGACAACCCGTGACGTCCCAAATGCGGGTGGTCCAGCTGCAGCCACAGAGCTGTGGGCAGGGCCCCCGCCCTGGGGCACAGGCAACAGAGCCCCCCTGGCCACAGAGGGTAGGTTACCCAAGGGTCTTGCCCCACAAAGTGTCCCCATATCAGCACTCTGACCCCACTCTGTCCCCAGGGCAAGCGAGCAGCGGCAGAGCAGCGCTTCGTGGAGCTGGTGATGGTGGTGGATCACGCTGCGGTGAGTGCTGGGCAGGATCCCCAGAAGAGGGGCTGCTCTCTCTCCAGCCACCCCTCTGACCTCTCTCCCTGTCCCCCCAGTTCCAGAATTACCCCAGCCTACAGCGTGTTCRCACCCGGGTCCTGGAAATCGCCAACCAGGTGGATGTGGTGAGTCGGGTCTCATCCCAGCCCAGTGCCCAGCTGTGCCCTCACCACTGCAGTGCTGGGGGGCTCTGACCTTTCTGTGCCCCCCCAGTTCTTCCGTCCC